ACTCAAACTTCAGCCTTGTTTTTGGTATATATTAGTAAGATTTAGGGGTTTCTTTGGATCCATGTTGAATGAGCAGAATTTATAAATAGCAGATGTTGCTGCAAACTACAATATGTATATAATATTTTTTAAAACAAATTATACATGTTAATGCAACCTTGATATGTAGTCTTTCACATCTCTTCCTTGTCTGTTTATATGTAGACGTATTCAAGAGATTTATAGGTGATGATGGAAAGTTAGAAGAACCTCTGATGGGAGATGCTAAAGATATACTGAGCTTGTATGGAGCCGCACACTTTGGAACAACGACAGATTATATATTGGAAAAAGTGTTGATGTTCACATCGAATCACTTAGAGTCCTTATTGGCAGGTGGGACGTGCCCGCCTCATATCTCAAGGCTTATAAGAAACACACTTTACTTACCTCAGCGTTGGAATATGGAAGCAGTAGTTGCAAGGGAATACATTACATTCTACGAACAAGAAGAAGATCATGACAAGATGTTACTCAAATTAGCCAAGCTCAATTTCAAGTTATTGCAGCTACATTACATCAAAGAACTGAAAACTTTTATCACGTACGAAAACACTCTATTCATTTTCGATAGGCATGAACTTCCATAATTCCAATGTCGAACATGTTTGGTTTTTTTTTCTTATTTGAAGATGGTGGATGAAGCTGGACCTTACATCTAAAATTCCAACTCAATTCAGAGAGAGGATCGTGGAGGCGTGGCTCGCAGGATTGATGATTTATTTCGAACCTCAATTTTCAGGTGGGAGGGTTATAGCTGCTAAGTTCATCTACCTCCTTACCATTTTAGCCGACGCTTGCGATCATTATTTCTCTATTCCTGAGCTTACAAGACTCGTAGAATGTGTGGTAAGGTACGTATACGGTAACTTTCTACTTGTAGTATTTCTTAAAATAATTGTTATTAATGCTTGGTGTATTTATTTGCTAAATTATTGGTGTTATAAGTTTAATCATTATTTTAAAGTATACAAACATTTTGTTTTGTTGAATTTTTCATATTTAAATTATTTGTGTTTGCTAGTATAAATTGTATCCAAGAGAGTAAGCACATAATTAAAATATTTTGGAGAAGAAACGTTAACAACCCATATTTTGAAAACTAATTGAAAATGATGGTGAAAGAAATTGAATTTGTAGTTACCGGATTAATTAACTACGAAACTAATTATATGGTGAGATATGGAGATGGAGAAGTACATTAAAAAAAGAAAAATAAAAAAGAGATGGGAGGTAAAGAAAATGCATGCTTATATAACTAGAAATATCAAGTGGTATGTGTTAGTATTGTCGTTGTGTCTTCATACAAAAAAAAATTAACCATTTCACTGAGAACTAGTATATTATAAAAACCATTTATTAAAACTACCACATGCAATCTTCTCGATTTTGTCAGACAAACTCCGGAGGCTCCAAGATCGTATTCCGAATTTTTTTTTATCTTTTGTTTTCCTCTCTAGTAATTGAAAGGCGGACTGTTTAGCCCATTCTAGAAGATTTTCACGTATTCGATATTTTTATTTTTCGTATATAAGTAACTTGCCGCCGAATTGGATTACCAATTCAGATAGTGCTTTTTAATTAATGTTTGGTTG